CATTAAAAGCCCAACTTTTTTTTTTTTTTTTTTTGTCGTTTAAGGAGATGAGCCGTACGTCGCCCAATGCTTCACATGCATTTAGTACAAAGTGCTAAAAAAAAAAATTTCATGGCAAACTTATGTTTCCTTGTTTACCTCTTAATAAAATATTTGTGCCTATATATTGTTTCTGTTATAGTTTTTAAATGTTCCTATTTTATAGTTAATAAGTGTCCACGTGACATCAGGTATTAAAAATCCAATGATTTATGTATCCACCTCCTCATTGTGTGTGCATGTTCTAATCTGTGTATGTACGGGATGAAATTAGTTTCAGTTATTAACACTTATTGTAGCCACACAGGCCTAGCTGCATAACTATATCAAATATAAAATCACTTGGAGCTGTAAATCTGTGCAGTACGTGAGGACTTGCAGATTTTAAGAAGGTGAGTAAAAGAGACCTTCACTGTGATTAATATTTTTTTATCTATTAAGTAATGACTATAACTACTAAAAATCTAAAAGGGGTATTCAGTAAATAATGTTCTGTGTGCGCAGGCGCTGCCGTTCTCAGCACCGTCAAGATAAAAGTCCGGACTCGGCCAAACAGAAAAACATATCGGCCAATGCCGATATTTGGAAAAATGCCAAATATCGGCCGATATATCGGTAGACCACTAGCGTAGATCATTCATAAAAACGTACATAAACGAATGCGCATGCCTCAAGCGTCTAAGCCAATAAGCTGTGCTGTATTATAAACCAATGAAACTGACTGCACTCTGGAGTACTTGCACACACGACAGCAAGCCTGGAAAACTCGATTACTGGGATTTCAGTCTGTTACGAAACATAATTGAACAACCTCCTCAGGTCCCAAACAGCAGGGGACCGCATATATTTCAATGGAACACTTTACCTGCAGTTTTACATGACAGAAAGTGACTTTCCTGGCAGCCTAATTGAGTCAATGTCAAGAAGAAAGACCGTTTTCAAAGCGGAGTCACACAGAGACGTTACGTGAACAGCTATGAGATCTGCTCGGCCTAATCACAGTGAGGTCATATCAGTGTCACGCGTGGGCATCCATCCATCCATCCATCCATCCATCCATTACCCACTCATCCAGCGTGACTCACGAGTCCTTAACGAAAGCAGCGCAGGTCTGAGGACACGTACCTGCTGCACTCCATCAGCTCCAAACGTGGCCCTGATCTCCTCGAGCTCGCGGCTCAGCTCCTCCATGGCCATGCTCTTAGCGGCTAACTCGTCCTCCATGATCTGAATGCGGCTCTGAGGGCCGCCGCTCTGTAGGTCAGGCTCCATGTGCGCTTCAGACCGCTGCAGATCTTCCTCCTGCCGGCGAGACCGGGACAGAGTAAGAGCCAGAGATTCTGGAGCGCTCATTATAAAGCCCTTTCCACAGAACCAGTGCCGGTGTTGGAGCTTGGTCAGGAGAATCTGAGAACTTTCTACTGAATCCCAGGGTTATTATCCTTCACTAAAACTAAAGATAAAAATATTTTACATTTTTTGTATTTTTTTTTCATTGTTACTTGGAAAAAAATTTATAAAATTGCATTTTTTTAATAATTATTCATATTTTAATTAATTATGAAATTAATTAAATGCTTAATATTTTAATTATTAAATTAATTAAATGCTTCATATTTTAATTAATTATTAAAATATTAATATAAAATGTATAATAAATTATAGTAATTATATAATAAAAAATAAACTTATTTTAAGCTAGTTCCCAAAGCAACATTTCTCGTTTTTATTTAGTTTAACTTGATGTGCTAAAATAACTAATAAAAATCTATACAGACATTAAAAAAACTAATAAAACAACAAAATCACTAAAACTTTAACTAAAATAAAAATTTAATAGAAAAATAAAAAATTATAAAAAATATTAATATTAAACAGTATCTCAGTGATACTAAAATAATGGCTGAGTGATGCTATTATGCTGGTTTAATTCCTATATTTGAGAATTTAATAAAAAATTTCAGCAAACTGCATTTTAATGTAATGGCAAAAGTTTTTTAAATTGTGTTTTAATAAAACTGATAAAACAACAAATAACTAGAACTTTACCTAAAATGAAAATGAAAATGAAATATAGAAAAAAAAAACAGAAATAAAAAGAAATTTTATAAAGAATAAAAGTATAAAGTAAATATTTAATTTTAGCTAGTTTAACTTGATGTACTAAAATAACAAAAACTGAAATAAAAATTAGTCAAATTTGTATAGATATATTTTAAAAATGGATAAAATGAAACTTTTTTTTTTTTTTTTACTTTAGCTAAAATTAAAATGAAAGTGGAAAATAGAAAAAAACATGTTAGCAGAAAAAAAAATATATAAATTTTTTTATTTTCATTAGTTGAACTTGATGTACTTTAACAAAAATAAATTAATAAAATCTATATAAATTTAAAATTATAAAAAAAACTGATAAAACAACAAAATCACCAAATCTATGAAATTAAAACGAAAAAAAAAAGAACTTATATTATTAAAAATTATAACTATTTCAATTATATTAAAATAACACAGCTAAATCCTGACTATGATGCTAGTTTTATTCCTATGTTTGAATATTTAATCTTTATGCAAAAACAATTTTTTTTTAATTTAGCAGAAATAACATTTCTACATTAATTTATAGACAATTTAGTATCAACACTGGTACTGTATCAGTAGAAAAGGGTTGAAATCTCTTTAATCTTTTTCCTTTCTGTCGATGGTTTTAGTTCCTGTAAAAGCTAAATGGCTCTCTTATATAAGCAGTTTATACAGCCTTTACACGCTCCCCTCCACCAATATAATATACGGCCGACAAAATGCCAAGCAGCCCTGCTTTCCCCTATTCATGTGGTGAACTGAGAGAGCGCGGTTAAAATGCCACAGCTCCGCATTAGCATATTCACAAGCAGCTGAGCCTCGGAGATGAAGGTAAAGCAGAAGGAAATGTGAGGTTAGTGCATCAGAAGAAACGCTGCGTCTCAGAAGAAGCAGGAGTGATTACTGCGTTATCATTACTGTACCCCGATCACAGAGGACGCCAGATCACTCTCTGTCCTCTCGTGGAAACCATTTACCTGTCAGTTCATGAGAGAGTGCTTTTAGGACAACATCTGCACAAACACAATGCAATTTGCACAAAGTAGAGTCACAGAGTCCTGCATATAACGTGGTCAACTTCACTAAAACATGAAATGTATTTTGCACTGAGAAAATAAACATTATAAACATACTTTTTTGACATCATTTCCATGACTGTTAATCATATTTACCCTCCAAATTCTGTAATATGTGAAGATTGTTCATTTTTTTATTACGATTAAGATTCTCACTATTCTAAAAGTTATTTTTCCTGCCTTATATTTCTATAATAAAATTATTTTTGTTTTATTATTATTTTTATAATTTAATATTTTATTTTATTTTTTATTTAACTTTTAATTTATTCTATACCTCTTTCTACTATACTTATACTGATTTTATATATACTTATTTTATTCTTTACCAATTTTTTTTTTTTTTTAAATGAATGCCAGTACAACGAATACAATTATGTAGAGGTGAAATGTTGAACTATTTAAACTAAATGCTTAATACTTTAAATATGTTATGAAAATGGTGTCATAATGCAACAAATCCTAATACACAAATATAAAATTGTACTGAAAATTGGAGAAAAAGTGCTTAATGAAAATAAGTAAATAAATAAATAAATAGTTTTTGTATTGAGAATTTTAAATCTTGTTAAATTAAATTAATTTGGGAATTGTAGGAGAAAATGTGCTTAATGATAAATATATAAATAAATAAATATATATATTTTTTTTAATTTGGGAATTGTAGGAGAAAATGTGCTTAATGATAAATATATAAATAAATAAATAAATAAATATATATATTTTTTTAAATTTGGGAATTGTAGGAGAAAATGTGCTTAATGATAAATACATAAATAAATAAATATATATATTTTTTTAAATTTGGGAATTGTAGGAGAAAATGTGCTTAATGATAAATACATAAATAAATAAATATATATATTTTTTTAAATTTGGGAATTGTAGGAGAAAATGTGCTTAATGATAAATACATAAATAAATAAATATATATATTTTTTTAAATTTGGGAATTGTAGGAGAAAATGTGCTTAATGATAAATACATAAATAAATAAATATATATATTTTTTTAAATTTGGGAATTGTAGGAGAAAATGTGCTTAATGATAAATACATAAATAAATAAATATATATATTTTTTTAAATTTGGGAATTGTAGGAGAAAATGTGCTTAATGATAAATACATAAATAAATAAATATATATATTTTTTTAAATTTGGGAATTGTAGGAGAAAATGTGCTTAATGATAAATACATAAATAAATAAATATATATATTTTTTTAAATTTGGGAATTGTAGGAGAAAATGTGCTTAATGATAAATACATAAATAAATAAATATATATATTTTTTTAAATTTGGGAATTGTAGGAGAAAATGTGCTTAATGATAAATACATAAATAAATAAATATATATATTTTTTTAAATTTGGGAATTGTAGGAGAAAATGTGCTTAATGATAAATACATAAATAAATAAATATATATATTTTTTTAAATTTGGGAATTGTAGGAGAAAATGTGCTTAATGATAAATACATAAATAAATAAATATATATATTTTTTTAAATTTGGGAATTGTAGGAGAAAATGTGCTTAATGATAAATACATAAATAAATAAATATATATATTTTTTTAAATTTGGGAATTGTAGGAGAAAATGTGCTTAATGATAAATACATAAATAAATAAATATATATATTTTTTTAAATTTGGGAATTGTAGGAGAAAATGTGCTTAATGATAAATACATAAATAAATAAATATATATATTTTTTTAAATTTGGGAATTGTAGGAGAAAATGTGCTTAATGATAAATACATAAATAAATAAATATATATATTTTTTTAAATTTGGGAATTGTAGGAGAAAATGTGCTTAATGATAAATACATAAATAAATAAATATATATATTTTTTTAAATTTGGGAATTGTAGGAGAAAATGTGCTTAATGATAAATACATAAATAAATAAATATATATATTTTTTTAAATTTGGGAATTGTAGGAGAAAATGTGCTTAATGATAAATACATAAATAAATAAATATATATATTTTTTTAAATTTGGGAATTGTAGGAGAAAATGTGCTTAATGATAAATACATAAATAAATAAATATATATATTTTTTTAAATTTGGGAATTGTAGGAGAAAATGTGCTTAATGATAAATACATAAATAAATAAATATATATATTTTTTTAAATTTGGGAATTGTAGGAGAAAATGTGCTTAATGATAAATACATAAATAAATAAATATATATATTTTTTTAAATTTGGGAATTGTAGGAGAAAATGTGCTTAATGATAAATACATAAATAAATAAATATATATATTTTTTTAAATTTGGGAATTGTAGGAGAAAATGTGCTTAATGATAAATACATAAATAAATAAATATATATATTTTTTTAAATTTGGGAATTGTAGGAGAAAATGTGCTTAATGATAAATACATAAATAAATAAATATATATATTTTTTTAAATTTGGGAATTGTAGGAGAAAATGTGCTTAATGATAAATACATAAATAAATAAATATATATATTTTTTTAAATTTGGGAATTGTAGGAGAAAATGTGCTTAATGATAAATACATAAATAAATAAATATATATATTTTTTTAAATTTGGGAATTGTAGGAGAAAATGTGCTTAATGATAAATACATAAATAAATAAATATATATATTTTTTTAAATTTGGGAATTGTAGGAGAAAATGTGCTTAATGATAAATACATAAATAAATAAATATATATATTTTTTTAAATTTGGGAATTGTAGGAGAAAATGTGCTTAATGATAAATACATAAATAAATAAATATATATATTTTTTTAAATTTGGGAATTGTAGGAGAAAATGTGCTTAATGATAAATACATAAATAAATAAATATATATATTTTTTTAAATTTGGGAATTGTAGGAGAAAATGTGCTTAATGATAAATACATAAATAAATAAATATATATATTTTTTTAAATTTGGGAATTGTAGGAGAAAATGTGCTTAATGATAAATACATAAATAAATAAATATATATATTTTTTTAAATTTGGGAATTGTAGGAGAAAATGTGCTTAATGATAAATACATAAATAAATAAATATATATATTTTTTTAAATTTGGGAATTGTAGGAGAAAATGTGCTTAATGATAAATACATAAATAAATAAATATATATATTTTTTTAAATTTGGGAATTGTAGGAGAAAATGTGCTTAATGATAAATACATAAATAAATAAATATATATATTTTTTTAAATTTGGGAATTGTAGGAGAAAATGTGCTTAATGATAAATACATAAATAAATAAATATATATATTTTTTTAAATTTGGGAATTGTAGGAGAAAATGTGCTTAATGATAAATATATAAATAAATAAATATATATTTTTTTTTATTTTGGGAATTGAAGGAGAAAATGTGCTTAATGATAAACATATAAATAAATATATATTTTTTTAATTTGGGAATTGAAGGAGAAAATTTACTTATAAAATAAAAATAAAATAAAATAAAAAAACTCTGTTCTAAGGTTAAATGTGTGCTGTAGGGCTGCACGATTATGACAAAAATCATAATTGTCGATTATTCCCTTGAAAATTTTAATTAATTACGATTATCATAATTTACATTGTATGATGTTTATACCATTGTTTGATGGTATTTTTATATGAAAGAAAGCTGAAAACACTCTAACTGAAAAACTTTTAGTGCTTTTCTATAGTATTAAGCCTCAAATATCAAATATACATCAGATTGGTTTCTTCTTTAAATTATAAAAAAGTAAAAATATGAATGATATTATAATGCTATACTAAAACCAAAATTAAAATAATGGGAAAAACCCTTAAGATAACATGCAGAAAGAAAAAAACGCATCTTAAGCGCGCAGAATAACATAAGTGGACGATTAATTGCCACTTTGAACGATTACGTAATTGTGGCATCCATAATTGTAATTTCATTAATTGTGCAGCCCTAGTGTGCTGGACATTCTTGAGCAGGTTTCATGAGATTCACTCAATCGAATCTCTCTTTATCTGGTTACTGATTAAGCTGTAATCAGCTATTTAACAGTAACTGCTTTCAGTCTCTGATCAGCAGCAGCACGGCTGCGAAACTTTGGTCAGAAATTTCAGGCAGCTTTTGTAAGATTTCACTGCCTAGCAACCAGCAGGTCACATGGTGCGTTGAGCATGAGAGCTGGAGAGGACCAAGCGGTGAAGGTTTCCGGATTTCTCTTTTGTGCTGCATCATAAAGCACTCACAAGCACGAGTCATTAACAAAACCCAACTCTGGCCTGAGAATAAACACACAAACCCTCGCTTCATAAAACACATTCGCTGAGGAACAGACGGCGAATGGATCTCATTTCAACTTTTCATTTATTCTACATTTGTCCTTTTTTACATTAAAGTCAATACAAACAAATGCAATTAATATTAAAATACAAATATAACAAATATGTAATTATTAGAATAAATAAACACACATATAGTCTTTGCATAGATTATCGGAAGAGAAAATGTGCGTGAAGAAAATAAATCAATAAATAAACACATATATAGAAAATGTGCTTAATGAAAATAATGTATTTAATGAACTTAATGAAAATAAAATCCATCATTAAACATACAAATAAATAGTTTTTGCATTTATATTTGAAGGGAAAATATGCTTAATGAGTGTAAATAAATAAAAATAAAAATTCTGTATTGATAATTTCAGGGAAAATGTGCTCAAATAAATGAATAACTTGTTTTTGTCTTGATAATTGGAGGAGAAAATGTGCTTAATTTAAATAAATAAATAGATAAATAAATAAATAGTTTTTGTCTTGATAATTGGAGGAGAAAATGTGCTTAATTTAAATAAATAAATAGATAAATAAATAAATAAATAGTTTTTGTCTTGATAATTGGAGGAGAAAATGTGCTTAA